AGAGAATGAAAAATTGTGGATATTGTTCGTAATTCCAACAAGGTAAATTATACTCCGATGAAAAGATAATTTAATTTTGCAAATGTTGTATCATTAAATTCCAATGCTCAATGGAATGCAGAAAAACAAGAAAGAGATTATTGAAATGCAAGAGAAGAATGAAGAGGGAATTGGTAATGGAGATAAATGTGTCACTACTCACTAACGTAGATGACGACATTATTATTGGTGGATATGATGATGGTGTTCATGGTGGAGGAAATGCAAACAAGTTCAAAAGAAATTGTGGAGTCTTATCAAATGATGAAGAGTAAATGGGGGGGGGGGGGGGGGGGGGGGGGGGAGGGGGGTTTAAATGTTTTTAGGATTTGGCTTCCTTGCATGGGGTTTATCTTTCATCTTTTTGTTCATGATTTTAGTCTAAGAATTCGTTACAATATCGAAAAATACAATTACGTTGATCCTTTTAAATGCTTGAAGTATTTTAACAATTTGGATTCTTTAATTTCATGCTCCGATCATTTTCAATGTTTTGAGTATTTGGAAAAATATAAATTTTCTTATATTATCCATGAAATGCTTATTTCGTGTACAAATTATTATTGTTGCTTATTTGATTTGCGAATGAATTCGTCCAACGGGTCGGGCCATGACTATTATATATATATAGCTATCCACTTGTTCTCTCGAAGTTCTCAACTTTGTAGTAAAAGTGAGTGGAAAATGGCTTATCTGTGGTTCAAAATTCTCTAGACTTGAGGACTACTTCAGAATGAGAAAAAAGCCAAAATCTTGTGTTTAGCCCAGACCGTTGTATTTTTATTTATACAGGGGAGGCATGAAGCTAGAGAAAAAAAAGACAGAGCAAAGACCATGTCAATACAAGAAACAGAACATAGGCAGATCACCTAGAGAAAAAAAAAACCTTGCTCTAACTCGGTGTTGCCCGTCGCACCTGTCTATTAAAGCTAACACCTCAAACATCTTCTTGAAAGATCCTATCCAGTTTCAATGGAGAATCTTCTAGCTCGTACGTACCGAAGGGATAGACAAGACTGTGCTTCGCCACTCTATTCCTTTCGCATTACCACCATGGTATAGACAGATAATAAATATCTTAATTTTTTTGTTCAAAAATATATCAAAGTGGATATGATTTTGAAGGGATAAATTACACGTTTGGTCACTCAAATTACATAAATCTTTCACGTTTGCCACCCGAATTACCTTTCTTTCTTATTCGCCACTAACTTTACGAATCGTTTCACCGTTAGTCACCAGCCGTTAATCTCCGTTAGATTTTGTTAACCCCGTCAGTTTTTTAATGACGTGGCAAACAGAATTACTGACGGGACCGTTAAGTAAATGAGATGGCAATTATAAAAAAAAACTAAATTAACAGAAATCGAAGTGGCTACAACAACCACCGCGAACTTCCTCCCCCAAAAACTGGAAAGTGTCCAATCGCCCCGCTGCCTCCTCCTAATCGTGGCCGCCGCTTTCCATCTTCGCTGGTGTGGGTTCAGATTTCTATGCTTCCTCTCGAGGCTACCTCCTCTGCATTCTCGGTTTCAATCCCAGAACTCATCCATAACCAGTTCAATTTTCTGGTGAATTCGTCAGCGGAAGACGGGAAGAGTGAAAGGGAGAGACAAGCATCATCGTCGCGTCGACACGATTGATCTCCTCGCTGTTCTTGGCAATCAGAGATACTCTTGTTATTTAGAAACTTCAAATTTTGTTGATGATTTTTGGGCTCTATTCTTATTAACAACACACTATGTTTTTTTGTTTGTTTCCTCTTGCTCAGGTGGTCACAGATTGCCGCACACTGACATTAGTCTCCCCGCCTCCTTCTTTTCCAATAATTACAGGTCGGCTCCTGTTGGTAGTGGAGCCCGGCGGCATCTATTGCAACTCCTTTTTCCTTGGTTTGTTATTCTCCACTACTCCACTATGCGCATCTATTGCAACTTCTTGATCTGTATGTTGGAATTAAACCCATTTTTGTGATCAATGAAAGATACGTCAATTGACCTCCTTTATCGCTGAGTAGTAGGAGAAGCAGTTCTTTCTTCACCGACGCCATTTTTGCCTAGGGGATTGCACATATGGATTACAGAGAAATGACAGCGCAAGATGAAATCGCGGGAATGCCTAACCAGCCCGTTGCTAATCAGTGCCTCCACCACCTCTCTTGAGAGCTAAACCCAACTGTATGGTAGATAGATAAAATCGGAATTCCAGCTACTGCCAGATAATTCAGCCGACGACATGTGGATTCACGGCGGTCGTTAGCTCGATCAGTGCTGGTTTCGGTGTGGACACGCACCAAGGTGTGGGCCATCACTCCTCTGCCAGATATTTGTCTAATTATTTATATTTTTTTAATTGTTATGTCATTTACTTAATGGTCCAGTCAGCAATTCTGTGTGCGACGTCATTAAAAACTAGCGGAGTTAACGAAATCTAAAGGAGACATACAGACGGTGACTAACGGTGAAAGGATTCGTAAAGTTAGTGGTGAATAAGAAAGAAAAATAATTCGGGTGGCAAATGTGAAAGATTTATGTAATTTAAGTGTCCAAATGTGTAATTTAGCCATTTTCAAGAGTATAATTAATCTAATTTTTCTGTGAAAAAATTAAACAATGTCTAATTAAAATAAAAAAGAATAACCTGTTAAAATTTATTAAAAAAATTAAAGACATTTCATAAATAGTTATGTGACAGATTATGCAAGAAATCTGTTCTTCCAATCTTCCAATGTACATCTTTGTCATTTTTTTTGTTATAAATGACCAAAAAATGTCATAATTAAAAGCAAAAAATTAAAGCCCGATGATCAACTAGCTGCTGAATCATCGATGAGAGGGCTTGTTTTGCCACGATATGGGCAACTCTATTGTACCTACGAGGCATGAAATGAAACGAAATACGACGGAGAGATGATCGTAACACCTGAACCTCATTCAAAATGACACCTCCCAAAGCATGAGTCGAATCGTTCGCGTTGACCATCCGAATGAGCAGTTGCGCATCACCACAAAAAAGAACATTAGTTAGAGAATGAGATACACACCAATGCATAGCATTATGAAGAGCCATCAATTCCAAAAGAAAGGGTTCCGAAACTTCCTAATATAATCTGCTAAAAGCAAAGCTCACGTCCCGATTTCCAGTGAAGCCAACAAATCCAACTCCTCCTCCAAGCGACTGTTGTGTGGCTCCATCAAAATGAATAAGGACTGAATACTCGGGAATAACAGGAGGTATAGAGCTATGACCAGCAGTTGAGGAGCTATGCTGGTTTCTCTGACGAGCTCCAGTGACAAGGTTTGATTGAGCGAAAGTCCATTCCGATACTTGGCTGTTAAACTGTCACTGGAGAGTGTATGGTAGGAAGAGGACAAGTTCATATGCTGAAGAACAACGCCTTTTTCCAAATCTGCTAGTATAAGAAGACGAAGCGAGCAATTGTCACTTTATCCAGACCTGCAAAAAAGAATAAATAAAGCCACCCAATCGCTATATGCATTAGGCGTATATGTGCTAGAAGATAATAAAATCGTACCAATTCCCACAACTTAGTGGCCACCCTGCAATGTAGAAAGCAATGAGACAAAGACTCGGAAGGACATGTGCAGACTAGGAATTTCAAAGCTTCCAAGTCCTCCTCATCCAGAAGCTCTTTATCCCTTATCAAATCTTTCACAGGTAGGTAGCCTTTGATCAAACACCACATAAAAACTCTTAGCTTAGGTGGGACTGGAAGTGACCATATGAACTTCCAGACTTTAGCATCAAATATTGCCGGTATTGTAGACATGTCTCGAACGAAGTCAGCCTCCACAATGTGATAGCCCGACTTGACAATATATTCGCCTGAAGATTCATAGTGCCACACTATCCTATCAGCCATGGGGAACATAGAGAAAGGGATACTACAAATTAACTTCACTGTGGCGTCATCGAATAAAGATTGCCTCCTATCTAGGTTAATGTAAGGTAAACCTCTTAACTCAAATTGAACACCTAGGTTAATTGTAATTAAACCGTTCAAACCCCAGCTTGAGGGAGAAGGTAAGTTAACCCTTAATTGTTTGGGCCAAGAGTGCTACAATTGTGAGAAATATCATTTTTGCCCTTGCTTTTATTAGAATAGAAATATCATTTTTGCCCTTGCTTTTATTAGAATACACACACACATATATATAGGGGTATACTTGGAACAAAAAAGGAACCCAACAATCTTCTCAAAACTATATCAAATTTTAGTAGAGATAGTACTATCACTCATTTTGAGTGATAGTTTCCATCATATCAAGCAAACTATGCATGTATTGTTTGTGCAGAAAATTAAAAAAAAACAATACATTGTGGACAATACATGTATTGTAACTATCCCAACCCAACAATTACCAAAACCATACGACCCCTCTACTATAATTATTATTTTATTTATTAAATAGTGCTAAAAATCATTTTTTATCAACCCTACATAATTTTTACTTTGGTAAAGTAATTGTTTCTATTTGTCATACATAATTAAGCTTGTGTTGGGCCCTTAAGCAACTTTCCCTCATTTGATGGCACATTTTGTTATGTTTTTAAGAAGTGTTGTTACAATCGGGCCTAACCGGTTGGTTCGATCGATAAAATCGACAATCCACCTCCAATCTTATATCCAATCAGTTCATTTGACGATCAAGAATGAGTCAGGTAGTTTATAAGTGAGCCGACCAGACCGAGTCGACCGATTAATTGGACAATTGACGAGTACACGTTTTCAGCCGTCTAGGCCATTAAACTATTTTAGTATTTTTATTATTATTATTGTTATTGTTAATTTAGGATATTCTTTTGGTTATTTAGGATTATTATTTCTTGTTAAGGAAGTTATTGTTTAGGAGTTGTTCTAGGATTAGTTTACCTTGTTCGGGAGGAAAAGGGTTTGTAGGGTTATTCCTATAAATATGTACTTTGTCTCTACGTTTTATTCATCAATCAAAGAAGAATAAACTAGTATCTTCGGTTTCTTTTAGTTCTAGTTCGTACGATTACGCAATGGACGAACCGATCGTCCATCAATTGGTATCAGAGCCTGGTTCGACGGAATCGAGCTCTTAGCAGCTCCCAGGGAAGACATCGTCAACGTTCGACCACCAATGTTGGGAAGAGGTCCCGCGAGCAACCCCGACGCCGCCCATACTGCTTCAAGTTGCTATGCCTGATCGATATCAGTTTATACGCGATATGCAAGAAGAGCAAGAGCTTCTTGATCTTCTGGAGGAAGAAGAACGTTCTGAAAATTTCTTTCGCCGTCAATCTTCGTCCAACCGCCAGTCACGATTCCCTCCACAGTCATCAAGAACGCAACGGTATCCACCAGCTGTCTACAATCCATGGAACTGGCGAGATCGTATCCTCAACCACGGCCTGGAAGCTCGCATCGCTAGAAAGAATTCTCACCGTACGACAGGTCACTTGTCCTCCCATCTCCATCCTTCGCCGCAATCTTATTCCTACCCGCGGGAATTGGAACAACAACGTGATTGGTACGACCACTACTATCCAACGGCCAAAGCCCATGAAGGGAATCCCATAATGGCGGCAACCTACTCACAGCAATGGGAGGATGCAAGCGAGAGGCAACATCTGAGTTGGGATTACTACCGCCCATCTTCCGTTGGCGTAGAGAATGGTCCGACCATCGAAGTTTGCCCAGAAGCCCTCGCCGGGCCAGTTACGATGGAACCCGCTAAGAGATTTAGGAAGGGAAGGATATCTAGGCAAAACCCTTAACTGTCTGGGTTTTCTCCATTTCATATTTATACAGCTGCTCAAAAGTACTTAACAGTCTGTAAACTCGTTAGCCAAGTGGTAGAGTACCATTGGCTCATTACAAAATAAGTACTGTTGTTTAACGGCTAACTCTACACAACAAAGCTACGCCGTTTCACTAAAACCAACTCCTATCATAAACAAAACCGACATCGTTTCTCAGCAGCTCCATTCTTCTTCTTCTTCGAATCTGAACTCCATCTGGATTGATGCTGCTTCATCAGTGCTACTCCATTGATACCCCCCTTCAAGTTGTGGACTCAGCCTTGATCCCCAGCTTGCATAGAAGCTCCTGTAAACGAACCCTGTGTAAACCTTTAGTAAACAGGTCAGCTAATTGATTAATTGTGCTGACATGATTCAGTTTAACCAATCCATCATTGATCCTCTCACGAGTCACATGCATATCGATTTCTATATGCTTGGTTCTCTCGTGGAACACAGGATTTTCGGCAATGTGTATTGCTGATTTGTTATCACAATAAATTGCAACTGGAAGTGGTATCTCCACACTCATCTCAGCTAGCAATCTTCTTAACCATTCCACTTCACAGACAAGCAATGCAAGTGCCCTGTACTCAGCTTCAGATGATGATCTTGAGACTGTGTTTTGCTTCTTTGTCTTCCAGGTGAGGAGTGAGCTGCCAATGAAGGTACAGTACCCTGTGGTAGACCTCCTTGTATCAGGACAGGCAGCCCAATCAGAGTCACAAAATCCCACAACCTTCATTTCTGTATTGCTGCTGAAGTGTATTCCTTGCCCTGGTGAAGATTTGAGATACCTCAGGATCTTGTATGCTGCTTGCAAATGGTCACTATATGGTTCCTTCTGAAATTGACACAACTGTTGTACTGCAAAAGTGAGATCAGGTCTTGTAATGGTGATGTAATGTAGTCTTCCAATTAGCCTTCTGTACATTTCTGGGTCTTCCAGTTTAGTTCCTTGCTTGGCTGTCATCTTGATCTTTGGATCACATGGAGATTTAGTTCCTTTAGCATCAACATAACCTGTATCACACAATAGATCCATGCAATATTTTCTCTGACATACAGAGATTCCATCTGCTGTGTTAGTTACTTCCAGACCTAAAAAGTACTTCAGAGGTCCCAATAGCTTTACCTTAAACTCTTGACTAAGAGCTTTCTTCACCTGCTCTATATCAGTCTGAGCATCACCTCCAATTATAATGTCGTCCACATAGACTAGTAGGACAACAATCCTTCCATTAATCCACCTTGTGAACAAAGAATAATCTGAGGCTGACTGAGAAAAGCCAATTTTCAGAAGGAAACCAGTCAACCTTGCAAACCACTGTCTAGAGGCTTGTTTCAAACCATATATGGACTTCTTTAGCTTGCAACACATTTCCTGTGAAGTTGACTCTGGCAGTTCTACTCCCAATGGAATTTCCATGTACACATCCTCTTCAAGCTCACCATGTAAGAAAGCATTTGACACATCCAATTGCTCCAGTTTCCAGTTCTTGATTGCAGCAATGGCCAATAATGTTTTAACTGAGTTAATTTTGGCCATTGGTGAATAAGTATCCACAAAATCTATGCCATACACCTGTGTGTAGCCTTTTGCTACTAACCTGGCTTTGTGCCTCTCAATGGATCCATCAGGCTTGAGTTTCAACTTAAACACCCACTTGTTCTTAATCAGTTTCTTCTTTAGAGGTCTTGGAACAATCTCCCATGTCTGATTTGCATATAAGGCAGCAAGTTCTTCCTTAACAGCTCTATTCCACTCAATTGACTTGACTGCTTCATGGTATGAAGTAGGTTCAATCTGAGACAGAATACTTAAAGCATATATCTTATCTAGCTTGTTAAGATGATCAACATTTAAACAGATTGGGTGTTGACTTACAGTTCCTCCAAAAGCTCCAAACTTCAATTGTGAGTCTAACTCACAGTCTTGATAACGGGCAGGAAGAATATGATGTCTAAGTGGTCTGCCAGGAGGTTCTTCATACTCAGCCTGTGGTTCTAACTCAGTTTCAAACCCAGGACTCTGAACAGTCTCCATGTGATTATCCCCCCCATCATCTGATGCTGTTTGAAGAGGGGCACTTGCAGCAGGCGGATGAGATAAAGGGACAGGAATTCTCACTGGGGGAGCTGAAACAGGAACAGGTGGAATGGGAACTGAACTTTGTGGTACTTCCTTTTCCTTATCTTGACCCCTGAAAGGTAAGATACTTTCATAGAACACAACATCACGAGACACAAACACCCTGCCATCCTCCAAATCCAACAATTTAAAGCCTTTAATACCTGCAGGATATCCTAGAAACACACATTGCCTGGCTCTAGCATCAAACTTAGTTCTGCCATGAGGCAAAGAACTAGCATAGCATAGGCTGCCAAATACCCTGAGGTGGCCAAGGAAAGGAGGTTTGTGGTACAGAACTTCATATGGTGATTTGTTCTCCAAAACTGGTGTTGGTAAACGATTAATCAAGTAAACTGCATGCAGAATACAGTCTGTCCAGTGTGTGAGAGGGAGCCCAGATTGAAATCTTAATGATCTGGCCACATTAAGAATGTGTTGGTGCTTCCTCTCCACCCTAGCATTTTGTTCTGGTGTTTGCACACAGGACATTTGATGTTCTATGCCATTTTCCATAAAGAAATCACACATATTGAACTCTTGACCCTGATCACTTCTTACCACTTTGACAGATCTGTTAAATTGATTCTTAACAAGTGTACAGAAACCTTTTAACAAATCTCTTGTATCACTTTTATGTTGCATCAAGTAAACCCATACTGATCTGGAATGGTCATCCACAATTGTAAGGAAATATGAATATCCATCATAAGAGAGAACAGATAAAGGCCCCCAAATGTCAACATGTATCATTTGAAACAAATCATGTGCAATACTGGTGCTAATAGGAAAGGGTAAACGCTTGTGTTTAGAGAAATGGCAAACATCACAGTGTGTAAACTTAGAACTGGTTACAGTGGAATCATTTTTCTGCAACAAAGAAAGCCTATCTCTACTAGGATGGCCTAATCTCCAATGCCAAAGGTCAACAGGCTGTGATTGGAAGTTGTAGGAAGAGGCAGCTTGGTGTGGAATTGTGGATTGGCTGTTTGGTGTGGAGAAGGAAAGCTGATATAATCCTCTAGTTTCTCTTGCTAAACCAATCATCCTCATGCTTAGCAAGTCCTGAATTTGACACAAATTTGATTGAAAGTGTAAGGCTAGTGGCATATCAGTGGTAAGCTTACTAACAGAGACAAGATTAAAGGTGAAACTAGGAACAAGAAGGACATTATAGAGGTGCAATCCTGTGGGCAAAAGAACTGTTCCTATGTGAGAAACTGACACTTTAGTTGCATTTGGCAAGTGAACAAATGAGTTAAGAACAGGCTTGTAATCAATAAAGAATGATAGGGAACAAGCAATATGATCAGAAGCTCCTGTATCTAGAATCCAAACACTAACTAGACTCTTTGGCTTATGTTCTGTGATAGAGGACAAAACATATGTACCTGAATAATTAGGGAATGGTGGAAGGAATTGAGACACTGAGTAGGCATTGTGAGAAATGGAAGGTGATAGTGGTGGTGAAGAGTTACTATTAGCACCTGATTGCATCATTAACCTTAATCTGTTCATCTCCTCAGGAGTAAACCCTGCAATTCCTTTAGTAACACTCATAGGACTACCACCAGAACCTTCATTGTAGTTTTGCTGCTCAGTATTAGGATCATTTGAACTTCCCTGAGAGGCTGAACCAGCAAACCTTGGTGTTCCAGACTGTGAACCACTCGAGTTACTTCCATTCTCTTGTTCCTTTCCCCTCTTCTGCTGTATTTTCCAGCATTCATCCAAGGTATGTCCTGGTCTCTTACAATAGTTACAGAATTTCCTTCCTCTCTGCTTGAATCCTCCATTCTGTTCTTCATTCCCAACAGCAAGTGCAACAGTTTGTCCTTTCTTCCCAGTCCCATCTGCTTTCAGCTTCTGCTCATATTGAAGTAAATCATCTACTGCTTCTGAAACTGAAGGCAATGGTTTTTGTGATAACAGTTTGTTCTTGATGAACTCATAATCGGGATGCAATCCTCTAAGAAACCTGATCAAATAATCTGTTTCCTGTCTCTCTGTATAAGCCACTACTGCGTCACATGGGTTAGGATTTCCTGGAAGACAATTACAAGCAACAATGGGACTAAACTGCAGAAATTCCTCCCATAACCCTTCATCTGTGTATAGTACTGATTAATTGAAGAGGTTCCCTGCTTGCACCTTTGAATATCATCTTCCAGATTGATTATCCGAATAGCATTTGGCTTAGCATATCTCCTTTTCAGCTCATCCCATAGAACCTTAGCATTAACATGGTTCATAACTGCTCTCTTCAAATCCTTATGCAAAGAATTGATCAACCAAGATAACACAGCTGTATTACAAGCATCCCAAAGCAAGAATTTCTCATCTGTAGCAGGTGGCATAGGAATACTACCATCGATGAAACCCAATTTGTGTTTCATCTTAAGACCCATGATAATAGAACGACTCCACATGGTGTAGTTACTCCCATCAAACACTTCAGTACCAATGGATTGATTCAAAGCTTCATTTGGGTTGAGATAGAAGGGATTACCGAAGGTGATGATTTCAGATCTGGGCTGTGTTTGCTGTTGTGCTTGCTGTTCTTCATAAGTCCCAAATTGAACACCCGAGATATTGTTGAATCTTCCCGTTTGGCCGCTGGATTGTGACGATGCAGACATTGCGGAACCCTAGATCTGCAACCGCTCTGATACCATAAGAGATTTAGGAAGGGAAGGATATCTAGGCAAAACCCTTAATTGTCTGGGTTTTCTCCATTTCATATTTATACAGCTGCTCAAAAGTACTTAACAGTCTGTAAACTCGTTAGCCAAGTGGTAGAGTACCATTGGCTCATTACAAAATAAGTACTGTTGTTTAACGGCTAACTCTACACAACAAAGCTATGCCGTTTCACTAAAACCAACTCCTATCATAAACAAAACCGACATCGTTTCTCAGCAGCTCCATTCTTCTTCTTCTTCGAATCTGAACTCCATCTGGATTGATG